CAGTATAAATCTTTCAGTATTATAATACACCGCATTGCTGGAGCTCATGTGAGGAGTTAGAGTCGCTGGTGTGTAACTGATGTCTCCTGTCACAGTATAAGAGCATTCCCGAGCTGTGCCGGAGACACGATGGCCCGAGCGACGAGAGGCAAGGTACGACACACACACACACACACGGCTGGGATGCGGGAATCACAGGGGTTTTAGATACATTAAAATAGTATAGCCACACACTATAAAAAAAATATTTATTGGCGGGTTTTACAAGAAAACTCTATTTTAGTCTTTCAACTTCAAAAGTTTAATTCAGTGCCACTTGCCGTTGCTTTGTAGTTGTGAAATTTACGTGTGAAAACTGTTTCTAAGTAAATCCTACACCAATTTTTTATAGTGTGGTGTATATTCCAAAAAACATGGTAATACCATCAAAGTAACTCGAGTTACGTAATCAGATTACTTTTTCAAGTAACTAGTAAAGTAACGCATTACTTTTTCAATTTACAACAAAATATCAAAGTTAATTTGTCAAATAACCAATGCTAGTTACTTTTTCCTCATTTATTGACTGACAGCTCTCCTGTCCTCATGTTAAGAGAAATAAAGTGAGGAGGTGTGTGTGTGTGAACATGATGGTTATTTTAGTTCTACACTAAACGTGACCATGCATTTACTCGTCTCACTTGCACAAAAACTTTCGGTATTCCTCAAAATGAATGAAAACGGTCAAATGCAATCTCAGAATTTTATGCAAAACTTTTATAATTAACTATATTAAATTACACAAATATACTTTATGTATTTAATTTCACTTTATTAACCAATGTCTTTGCTGCTGACAAATGAAATGAAAATGGGAATCGTTAAAATTCAAACCATGCCCAGCCCTAATTGAGAGGCATTATTTTGTGCGAGTCTATCAGATGTATTTGTCTTGTTTTCCAGCTCCGGCCATCAACTGGGGTCGTAACGCGGCGTCACACGGCGGAGCGGGAAACAAGCCCACCGGGATCGCCGACGTCTACAGCAAATTCAGGCCCGTCAAACGCGTGTCTCCCCTCAAACACCAGCCGGAGGAGACCGAAGCCGAGCCGAGCGTGGACCGGAGCAAAGAGGATTCTCCCTGCGCCGGCAAGAGCAAAGCCCTGGGGAGCGGAGCGCTGTTCGGGGAGCTGGAGCACTACGACCTGGACATGGACGAGATCCTCGACGTGCCGTACATCAACAAACCCAGTCAGCAGACGTCGACGCTTCCCCGCGTGGCTTCGGAGAAGAGGAGCGTCAGAGGAGCCACGCTTTCCCACTCCGAGAGCCTGAGCGCCGGGAACCAGTTCTGTGTGCTGGCGCCCGTCAACTGGCCCGACATCAGGAAGAGCAAGTCTATGGATCTCAGGGCTCAGAGCGCGGGGTTCGAGCTCAGTCACGGGTCAGACACGGATAAGCCCCGACTCTTCCCGGATAAACCCGGAGCCGACGGCGGGGAGACGGCGTTCCCGGTTCAGGGAGCCAGAGGCACGAGGGGAGCGTTCGGAGACGGAGACGAAGAAGCCAAGAAGACGCAGAACATCCTGAACATCGTGAGAGAGGGGCAGATCTCGCTGCTGGTAAGAGTCCTCCAGTATTTATAGTCAGGGTTTAAAATTAACACTCGCCAAGTGCGGCTAAAAATCAGCTGTGGCGAGTAACGCTGTCAAATCACGAGCCAATTTGGCGTGTTATTATATTTACTCACTTTACAGGCCAAATCTGCCCATTATTTATAGTTTATTAAATCTAGTTTTGTTTTAGTCTCCTACAGCAGGTTTACAAAACTACTAATTTTCTCATAATATCCATTGCAGCATCAGCTCTTTTCTACGAGTGGATCTCTGAGCTGAGTGAGTGAGTGGAGGCGGGGCTCATTTGTATACCGTGCATACTAAATGAGGCGAGGGTGTAGAGTTGCATTCAAGATATTTTAAGGCATGAAGAATTTTTTTTCAAGGAAAAAACGTTTAAATATGTCATTTTGGTGATCAGAGATGAGTTTTAAGGGATAAAATTATTGACCAAAGGAGGACTTTAAAGCTACCTAATGATGTTTTAGAGTCTCCTACAACAGATTTACATGCAAAGGTCAAAAAACACTTTAATTTCCTCATGATCTCCACTGCAGTCTCTCAGTGTCTGAAACGCTTCGATCGAAGATTCAGTCTCTCTAAGCCCCGCCTCTCTGAGAGCTGCTCTGCTCTGATTGGTCAGAAAGCAAACGCTCATTATCATATCTGAATCTCAGCTCTTGATCACAGTGATACGAACAGTAACGATGGCGTGGGTTTCACCGTCTCAATCTCAGAAAACAGCGTCTTCTCGACACGAACAACACTCCTGTAGCTTGCAACGCCAAGGTCATGGGTTCGATTCCCAGGGAAAGCAAGAACTGATAAGAATGTAAATGTGTATCTTGAAATGCAATGCAAGTTGCTTTGGATAAAAGCATCTGCCAAATGCATAAATGTAAATG